ATTTTACTTTACTTTACTTATTTTTTATCATTTTATTTTTATTTATTTTTTGTAACATTGTTATTTTTTCGGTAACATTGTTACTTTTTAAACGATAATGACAAGAAAAACTTGATGTAAAAAGAGAAAGAAGAGAGCAGAGACGGAGAATCCTTCCTATTTCGAGGGATTGATGTGGAGAGCAAGGATGGAAATGGATGCTATAACATGTGGCAATTCTAATGTGGGGATCACCGCCGGTATAAAAAATGTGGTGGTGATCCCCATATTAGAATTACCAAAAAATTGCTGCGGGGTACCCTCAGTTTTGGCCCCATTATTTTTCAAAATGTACTTTGGAGTACCTTAAAATTTACAAAAAGTTACTCTGAGGTGACAATCCGTCACTCTCTCCGTCAATCCCTAATTGCCGTTAGCCTTTTCTTCTCCTTCACCATTCTTTCGGCCTTCCTTTTTTTCTTTTTTTTCTTTTTCTTCTCCTCCTTCTACACCCTCCAATCCCATCCAGCCGTCCCTTTTTTCTTCTTCTATTTTTTTCTTTTCTTCTTCTTGTATTAATTATTATTGTTGTTATTATTATTATTAATATTATTATTATAATTGTTGATGTTAGATATTATGGAGTATTATTTTATTATTTGTAAGTATTTGTTATTATTATTATCATTATTTATTTATATATTTATTATTTTTTAAAATAGCAGTTTTACTAAGGCCCCATAAAAAAAATTTGTGTGTGCCCCCATTAACTTTTTTTCAATATTCACTTGCGTTAACAAAACTTAAAATATTTTAAAGCTTTACTTGAAAATTAGTTTTAGTAATATACTCCATTCGTCCCATAAAACTTTTCTCCTTTCTTTTTTTATCCGTCCCACAAAACACTTTTCATTTCTATTAAAAAGTCACTTTTACCCCTTACTTTTTCATACCCTAACTATCACATTATACCTGTAACGCCCCAAAACATACCCTAGAATTATTAATGAATAAATAGTCAATTAATCAAATTTGTTTTGATTAAAATAAATTATTGTTGGGCTTTGGGCCAAAATGAAATATGTTTAAATATTCAATATTACAATCTGGATAAATCTTTTAGAGATAAATCCAATATGTTGAGTTGTTGACTTATTGTGTGAGCTTGATTGGGAACTTGAGTACAGACCCAAATTAAGAATAAATGAAGAAATTGTTTATAATGTGAACTTTGAAATGATTTATTGAAATAAATCATGGAAATAAATGATATGAATTAAATGTGAGAACCTTTTTGAATAAAAGTCAATTAAACCAATTTTGACTCTGTCAAAGTCAACCAACCAAAAATATGATGTCGGAAAAAGTATAACGAATAAATGTAAAAAGTATATCATTGGATAGAGTTTAATTGTACGATCGCAACGGTGCAAACGGATTTCAATTCAGAGAAAGTTGGACCAAAAAGTATACCCCGACTGGGACCAAGTTAGTCCCAATCAGAGAGTAACGTGCTGAGTCTCCTTGAGGCACTCGTTTGGGGATACCACCCAACCCGACAGTGAGCATTTCGGATCCGCTGTTCGGTTTTTGGATGACCTTAATCGAAGGTAAGTTTAAGATTTTGAAAACCTCTTTTTGAAAATTTATATCTTAAACTAGGCCTAGCTTAAGGGTTAGATAAGAGTACCTTAAACTTGAATATAGTTTAACTATGTTAGACTAGAATTCGTTTAAGAGTTGGTAAATATCAAATAGATTGGCCTTAGACTAAGAATAGTTTAAGAATATTGTTGAATGACAAATGATGAATATTGTATGATGTATGTTGAATAAAAAATGTTGAATATGAATGATGAATATACATGTTGAATAATGAATGTTGAAAATTGTATATTGATTATTGAATATTTGAACTAAACATTATGTGCATGATATTAAATGATTTGATTATGAATTAAGATTCTGTTTATATGGATGTTCGACGCATTAGATATGCTTACTCAGCTTTACCGCTGAGCGTGTAGTGTGTTTTATTTGCTACACGCAGGTCAATAGAATGATGTGACGTGATCCTGGAGGCAGACGGAGGCGAGATAGTCGGAATGGATGTGATGGTTTTGAATTAATGAATATAAATAAATAATGTTTGTGATTATGATTGGTTAAGCTTCCGCAATATTGAAAACTCTGTACTGTTGTGATAAGAAAAATATTATTGTGATAAATAAAAATGTTTGAAATGTTTTAAATTTTTACGATTACCAACTTAATACTTTAGTCCGAAAGGGGCTGCAGACCTGGACGGATTAGGGTGTTACAATACCTTTTTACTAATAATTTATCCATCAAATCATACTTTTACCAATCATATCAAAGGACATTTTTGAAAATTGAATACCACAATACACTCCCTTATAAAATTAAGATTATTTATTCACTTGGTTATAAAGTATACGTCCTAATTTATAATAATAATAATAATATGAAATTAAAACTATTTTTTATCATTTCAAATTATCTTTAAAAACAATCTAGAGACACTTGTTCGTCTTATTCTCGTTTCAGGTCCTCTCGTTTTCGGGATTCACTACTACCAATGACGGTTGCCGATGGCTATTGCATGACTAATGTGAAAGACATCAAATGTCAAAAAAATTTGAGTAGTAAAACTACTACTAATTTTCATTAATAATAATAATAAGTGTTATTTTAAATAATAAGTACTATTTTTATAAATATTCCCTCCGTCCCTGAGTGTTTGTCCACTTTCATTTTTGCACACCATCCAATGCACTTCTTTAATCCATTTTACCTTATAATTTATATATTAAAAAATTATAGAAATTATATATTAATAATCTATATGTTAAGACAAATCAAACAAGATCACACATGACTATATTTAGGCTTACACATTGAGAAAATTTGATGAGTCAAAGTGCTTAAATGAACAGTTCCAAAAGTCAAAAGTGGACGAATATAACAAGACGGAGGTAGTAATAATTAGTTTTATTTTCTTAAAAATAGAGTAATAAAACTACTAGTTAATTTTTAATAATAATAATAATAATAATAATAATAAATAACAACAATAGAAGAAAAAGAAAATAATAAGAAATAGATAATAATTAATACAAAGTAAGTAATAAAGTACTTTATAAGAAGTTCTATTTTTCTAAATAACAATTATTGTTATTTTTTTAAAAAAAGAAGAGTAAAACTAATAAATAGTTTTTAATAATAGTAAATAAAATTAATAATAGTAAAACTACTAATTAATTTCTTTATAATAATTATAACAATTAATAACAAATAATAATTATAATAGAAGAAGAAAAAAGAATTCAAAACAAAAAATAGAAGAAGAAATAAAGTAGGCGCTAGGCTGGATCTGATCCGAAGGCAAGGAAAAGGAGAAAGACGAGGAGGAGGAGGAGGAGAAGAAGAAAGAAGAAGGAAGAGGAAGAAGAAAAAGAAGAAGAAGAAGAAAGAAAGAAAGAAGATGGAGAAAGAAGAAAAGAAACAAGAGGAAGAAGATGGTTGAAAGAATGGTGAAGAAGAAGAAAAAGTTAACGGCAAATGGGAATTGACGGAGAGAGTGACGGATTGTCACCCCGGAGTAACTTTTCCTAAATTTTAAGGTACCCCAGAGTACATTTTGAAAAATAATGGGACCTGCGAGTTCTTATCACAAAACTGAGGGTACCCGGCAGCAATTTTTTGTTAGAATTACCTCCATTAAATAGCATTGGAATGTTTTTAGTGTCAAAAGTTAAAAAGCCTCAAATGAAGAGTCACTTATTCATTTTGTGTTGTTTTCAGATTGTGAGCCTACTACATTTGAAGAAACCGTAAATAATCCAAAATGGTAGAATGCAATGAATGGAGTGAAGTGGGTTTACAAAACCAAATTGAAGGCAAATAGAAAAGTGGATAAATACTAGGCATGCTTGGTAGCTAAAGGCTATAAGCACGAATTTAGGATTGAATATAAAGAGGTCTTTGCTCCTGTTGCAAGGCATTACACAATCAGATTAGTGGTTGCCTTGGCGGCACAACATGAATGGCCTATCTAGATGTGAATTTAACATTCTTGCACGGTGAGCTTCACGAACAGGTATTCATTGAGCTGAGTATGTAGTTGCAGCAGGTTGTGCTTGTTAAACTATTTTGCTCAGAAAAATTCTTGAAGGATTGCAATTCAAGCAAAAGACAACTTAGATATATTGTTATAACAGTTTGACAATAAGACTCTCAAGGAATCCAGTTTCTCATGAAAGATGCAAACACATCTAGCCATCCAACAAAAAACAATGAGTGGAGCGAGTCCAAATAAATTTCACGCCTTTGAAGTTAATTCAATTAAATAACTAATTAATTAAAGAATGAGTGTATTTGGATTTTGGACTAGAATTAGTATTACGGAGTATATATTAGTAGAGTAGATGAAACAGGACAAACGGGACGGATCGGTATAAATTTAAGTTGTCCCGTTCATGTCCCATTAGATATTGGGACGGAACGAGTTCGGGATAAAAAAATGTGTCTCAATATATCGGTACAATTATAAAATGGATCCGATATTTTTCGGAACGATCCAACGGGAACGGATTTCACGCTCACCCCTAATTTCTTCTGTCCACAACATGTTTGATAAAAGTCCCCAAAGACAAATATCTTACAAAGTTGTCCAATTAATAAGAAATATAGTAAATTTAGTCATAACTAGAGTATATAATTAGAATATATTATTTGTAATAGCTTCTTGTGCCGACCAAATACAGGACAACCTCTTTAAGAACGTGATTGAGATTATACCCTCCACCTTTTTATAATTACAATCATCACAAGCTATTACAAGTTTTACAACTCGTGCATCTTTTTTGACATTCCGATCGGTGGCCTCCCGGCGACCACCACAGGCATCTGATCAAAATACGCAGGTCCACCGCCTCTGCGTCCCGGCGACCCCTCCGCCCTTTCACTGTACATTACCATTCTTCTGCCCCTGACTAATTAATGACTGGATTCATTCATTTAAAGAAAAGGGTCTTCGGTCTGGTCCAGAAAAGGTGGGATCTGTCCACTGAATTCGAATCAAAATTGAACAAAATGTGAGCCGCAGCAGATTATTCCAGTTGAGCGCCGCGGCGGCGGGCTGTCCGGGGGACGGCGGCGCGTGACAAAATAACATCTCCGCTGAAGTCATAATGAGATACTACGGGCAAAGCGATGTCGATGGGGACAAGACATAATCCCCTTCCCCTTAACATCCTCCCTCCCCTGTTCTCTCCGCCGCCACAATCCTCCTCCTCCTCCGTAATACACGGCGGCGGAGTCAGATAGGGAGAGCAAAGAACCTGAACTTGATCCTGAAGAGATCTTATGTAACAATTCGCTTCAGTCAGCACTGACACCGTATCTCCCTGTTAGATTGAATTCAGATTTTATTTTTTTTCATTTTCTTTAATTTAAGATTAACAACAACAACAACAAAAAAACAAACCCAGTAAAATCCAAAGGAACAATTTAAGATTAGTTTAAGGTATTATTTAAAGATGTCCAAAGAACCTTTCCAAATGGCGACACGAGTTGCTGCAGTGCCGCAATTCTGTCGCCAAGCTTCTGTCTCCTTTTTCCCTGCTGCATGTATAAATAAAGTGAAATTTACATTAAATACATTTTCTTAAACTCTTTTATTCCTTTTTCATCATAAATAAATAATTAATTACTCCCTAATTAACTAATTACGCAGAAATTTTAGATTTTTCACCTTCGCCGGAGGGGCAGTGACATTCTTCTTGGAGTTGTTTCCCGGCGGATTATTCATGGATTTTCCCCTGTTTTGACGAGCTGAACTACCTTTGCCTTCACTTTTGACATGTCTCTTTTTCTTCAAGAAATTAAATCAAATGCGGGGCTAAAATTGGTTCTTCGGAAAAGAAAATAAAGAAAAGAAGAAACAATTAATTACATTACCTTGTTGGGTGGTAAATCGAGTTTGGAAGCAGGGGAGTCCCGGCGGCAGCCGGAAGACGACGGCGGACTGAAGTTGAGGCGCCCGTCTGAATCTGCACCAAGACTCACAACGACGTCGTCTTCCCCGAAAAGTAGGTGCGAGTAGATCCCAGCTCCTCCTATTCCTCCTCCGGGTGACACATCATCATCCGCCATTGCTGCTGATTGCTTCCCTTACCTCACTGCATGGGACAAGGGAAGGTTTGGGGTTTCTTGTGGAAGGAGACAAGAACGACAAGCATAAGCTAATTAAAAACTTTTATGGGCGGCCTTTTGAAGTTTGGTCCAAAGGATATCTTTACCTTGTGTGTACTTCTCTCCCTCATTCTTCCAAGACTGTTTATTCACTATTTAATATTTATACTACCTCTCTTCCCAAGATATTTGACTGCTCACGAGTCACGATGGATAATTATTATTTACTCCCTCTCTCCCAAATTATTTGTCACATTTGTATTCTCGAGACAAAATATCAAGTTTTTTTCAATTCATTTTATTTACATATTGGTATAGAAATAAAAAATAAAATTTACATATAAAAAAACTACATGAAAAGTTCTTCGAAATAAGAGGTGTCAAGAGTATTTTATTTTGTCAAATAACCAATGAAAATGTCGAAATAAACAAAAATTCCCGCGACTGCTGAAAAAGCAAATGTTGTGAATATTTAGAGACGGATGATATATTTGTAACATATTTAGACAATTATTATCTATGGCGGTATGTAACACTAAGACTATGTGTTATGCTAATGACTTGATGTTGTGTTAGAATGTATGAAGTAGAGTGATAGAAATATATGTACTACGGTGGGTATTAAAGGAAATGATAAAGTAAATATAAATTTATATATGTTAAATTTTAATTGGTTGAAATATAATAAGAAAAAGAGGAGCGTGATGGATAATGATCAAGTCCCTCCTCACGCCCCATAACACACTGCCTAAGTAGTGTACTCTTAGACTATCTGTAATGTCTCACCACCGCTGACTCCAAATCAACAGCCACTTAGCGCCACATCAGTTCACTCCCTTCACACCTGTAAGACTATATGATATGGTATGATGGATCACACCCATCCCACTCAGCGTCACTCCATGCCACCTGAACTTTTCTTTTTCCCATCATAGCCCATCACACCACCACTATAATAGCCTATCACACATAATTTTTTTAAAGAATTAACTTAAAATAAATAACTCAAAAAAAAAAGAAGATGAAAATTTTAAAGTGTAAAAATGTGAAGTGAAGATGATGATTTAAATACAGGAGAGAAAGGATGGAAGAAACAAAAATAAATAAACTAGCCGTTGAACGGCTAGAAATGGGGAGAGGGAGAGCCGTGGTGGCCGTGATGGCCATCGCCCCATCACGGTCACCCTCTAGGCGGAGGTGTTCCACGCCGTGATGGCATATGATTGGTGCCACTTGGGCATCACGACACCACCGCAGTGTCCATGCCGTGTGGTCTAAAATAAAACCTCACCGTCACTGCAATGATTACACTTTTTTTATACAAATAATTACCTATTTCTATTCAAATTAAATTATAACTTATACAAAATAATAATAATATTCATTTTTTCGCTCTTATTTTTTCATAATTAATTTTGTTGCAATTATTTTTATAATTTTTTTTCGTAATTAAATTTTGTTTGTTATTAACTTTTTCGTTTTTATTTTTTTCTTTTTTATTTTATAACAAATTATTGCACAAAAAATGACAATTAATTAAAAAATATGATGTTGAATAAAAGAAAAGTGCACACAAGCATTACATAAATTTTAAAAAAAACACACAAAGAGAGGAGTTAATAGGCTTGAAATTTGAAATTTTTTTTTATGGCCAACATGACCTTTACATGGAGGATTGAAACAAAAAAGGGAAACAGTCAGATGAAGCACCATGGGCGTGACCACGGATGCTCTACCGCGGCGTGGCTTCGAGGGTAGGGGGCAGTACGTGTTCATGTGAGGGGGGGGGGGGGNGGGTGGCATGGGGGCATTGCGTTCAAAAAAATTTGCAAATTTTAAAAACTACGTCAAAAGATCTTCAAAAATAGTGGTAATATGACTATATTATTATGTCAAATGACTAAGGAAATTAAGGGAACAAAGTAGATAAAGTTTGAGGATCCTGCTACACTTACACCATAAATTGTACTCCAAAGGTATGAACCAACATTTTGATGGTTCACACTGACACAGAGTATTGGTGCATTAACAAAAATTTACACTAACACAAAGTGTTGATGCGTTAACCGGGTGAAGACGACTAGCTAGGAGCGTAACACAATTTACTTATTTATTTGTCTCGAAATAAAAATTTGATTCCTTGTTTCTTAAAGAAAGACTATGATCATCGTTGAACATAGTTCAACTCATTTCGTTTCACTATGTGAAACAACGAGCTGTTTTCTTTCAAATAAATTCCAATTCAGAGGCACATTTGTTTACTTTTCAACATTTTTCTTGAATTCTACACACTTTTGGTGTGAGAGGGAAGGAGTACTTTTTTTCATATTTTTCTCACTTGTGCATCTACTCTCCTATTTCTTCCCTAACATTAATACTTCCTCCTCCCCGTTTGGAATAAGTTCTATCAGATTTATGTTTCTCCCTCCCTTTCTATGTCTACATTTATATAAATAGCAGTGCAAGTGTACAAAGAATTGCATAGAAAAGAAAAAGACAGGAATTGTTGGGTGAGGGAGTGATAGAGAGACGTGACAGCCGTTTGGATTTGTAGGGACTTGCCCGTCTGGTCTACTCAGTCAAAATTTCAACTTCACCCTAGAAAACCATGCCCTCTTACCCCACACTATATCAGTCCTTTCCACATTTTTGCTACCCAAACAGTTCCTTAGCAACACCCATTCAAAACTCATTAAAATAACAACAAACCTAACTCTCTAGAGTCAATGTGTATGAAACCTTATATCAATTACAACCCAATAAGATTCCACAAGAATTTGGGTCTAGGGAGGTGTGTGCATGCAGACATTACCCCTACATGGTAGTAGAGAGGTCGTTCCTAAAAGACCCTTGAGGCCTCGACTCAAGCACGGAAGCACATGCAAACAGAGTAAAGATAGTAACACGAACAAAGTAAGAACGCATGCAAAAGAATCACTCATGCCAACACCAAAGTCCAAAAGCCTATTTAACTACTCTGATTCTAGGCCTCGGTATGTTCTTGTGCATGAAACCTTATCTCTAAAAAAATACAAAGAGACTGTTTAAGTTACATCTTGATGCATTCGTTATCCAAAATTTCATTGAGAGTAAGAAGCTGAAAGAATTTTAATGTATAGTTTTGATATAGTGGTGTATTCACTACTCAAAACCATTAAAACAAGAGTAAAGAATGTTAAGCCACATCAGCATTCCACTGGTATTTGCGCATTGACCTCCAATTTGAAGAAGGATGATTGGAGAACATTTTTTAAAAGGTGAGGTACCAAAGTCACGCTAAAACAAACAATTTGCATCAATGTACAACACGACTAAAAGGTGAAAGTGTTTGGTGGTTTTCGCCCTTTAAACAATTTTAAGTTGTATTCCATCTACTTGTTCAATTTGGTATACCTAATCCTCCCCTAGTTTCATATTTATGTTCATAGTTCATTTCATACTAAATTTAAGATTGGCAAAAGGTCAGCAGGGTACAAAGAAGAAAGAGCGAAAAAAGTAAAGGAAATGTTTAAAGTATTGTATGAATTTAGGGTGGGTGGTTTAGAGAAGAAAGGGAGCCAAGTAAATGAAAAATTACATTATACCCCAGACTACAAAGTATTAATTGTGACATTTTGAAAAACAGAAATAGGAACATTAACGTGGAACACATAAAAAGAAAAATAGAATCGACATTATGAAACAAATGAAACTACCCTTCACTCTCACATAAAGGCCGAGAATTTGTGCAGCTGGCTTTGTTTTCCTCTGGCCATGTTTCTTGTTTTTACCCATGGCCTCAACTCAACGTCTCTCTGGTTTGGAAAACTTAGATTTTTTATGGACAACAAAAGAAACTACCCCATCTAGGCTTGGACCTGCTTTTGATAGTACTCGTGAACTCAAGAATGAGAGAAGTAACTAATCATACAAATTAGCAACTAGATATATCAGTGTAAGCCTCAAACTCAATGCCCTAAACGAAAAATACAAGCATTGTATTTTTGTGGATGTGGGTTAATAAAGTTCTAGGTGGCATACCCTATTTCTTACTAGGGAAAGTTAAACATGGGACTTCCCCTTTCTGTAACCACAATATATGACAAGTATGTCAACCAAAACATAATCATACGGATTGGCAACAACTGCATATAAGATAGTTGCGCTATATCTACAGGCAGATGGGGTGAATCGGGTCCCTCTAGGCATGGCATATGAGGTCTTTTCTAATGTAATACATGCCTATGTCGTATGATGTTTGATCCTCTTTGTCATTATTCATGGAACATATCTTTGACGAGATCGTCTCGGAAGCAATCCTTGGGTTTGGCCCACGAGGTTATTATTAATAATTATATGGGCCTTGATTATTAAGCAGCAAGCCCACATTGTTTGGCTGTTCCATTTGATGGATTGGTATTCTTATTGGGCCAGAAGCCATTTTTAACCCATCATCTACATTCTTAATGAAGGAAAAAATTCACATTTCATTGGTTTTCATATGTGCTGGTACAGTTCCAGATTTAAAGACTCCATTCTCATAGGACTAACAGCATTCCATTAAACGTTAACAGAAAATACTGCATTTGGTTGGTTCGGATATCTGGTGGCATCACAACTGATGGCCTCATATCTTATGGTACCTAATAATGTGAAATTATGCCTTGTGGTAACAATTTTGATTATTTTCCACTTTTTATAACATCAAAAAGACTTATAAATTATAACTATTTCAACTCTATTTTAACAGACTTTCAATCCCCCCCCCCAAAAAAAAACTCAATTTTAGCAGACATTTGTTACTCCTGTAACTAGCATCTAGCTTGAATTCCATATGAAATCAACTCTAACGAATTTTTGGTGTTGTTTAGATCATAAAACTAGTGTTTTGATGAGTGATGCTGATGAAGAACTTTCTCAAATGTATTTGCCACTTTGAGCAAAGAAGTATAAAACCATAACTTTTTCCTCAAATCTCAATATGAAGCTGATATATCATCATGACCCAAAGAACAAAAAACATAAAAAATTAAAATGTGAAGCCAGCAGGCAAAACTTGTCACTTTTTTACTCAAAATTAATGCTCTATGCTAGAAAGTACAAACGACTTTGTAACACTTCAAATTGAGTACAATGTTTTGAAAAGTCATAGGGACTGGTTTTTAGCCCGAAAGTATTAGTGTTGAGCTGAAAATATATAGGAAGGAACACTAAAATGTACTGGTGCCAAACAGAAGGCATTGTAATTTGTAACAAGGGAAAGATCTTGAGCAGACAAGACAAGCACATTTTGCTCACGTTATTTGGGCATAAAAGACATGCTCTCTAAAAAGGTTGAATAGAAAGACAAAGGGGGTGCAAAATTAGTACCAGCACGAGAAAAAACAAGAATAAACTCCAAACTTGCCTCTGTGGAGAATATCAGCAAACACCTTGTGGGCGTGGATAAACCAATCAAGCAGAACAGATCTCCTTCAGCCTATTTGCCGTCGATTGGTCCACAGAATACTGGAAACGAATCACAATTCACAATCACAACCAGAACAAACAAAAAAACTTAAATATGCACGAGTATTACAGAAATATAGTAGAAGACTGTTTTACTCACCTTCTTCAAGACCCAGATTGAATGATTGTAAGTGCGTTGAAGGAGATCGCGGAGAGTGACAGAATCTTCGGCGTCGATTTCTCTGTAGTTGACAAAGTTCTCCCGAGCGTATTTGGCATAGTAAGGCCTTGTGTCCTCTGGAAGTCTCTTCACCAGCCGGAGCACCTCCGCGTAAGCCATTAACGCTTTCTTCATTTCTCTACCGTCACCTCCTCTTCGCAGCTGATAAATGGCGGCAATGCCAATTTGACTTCAATAACTCAGGTAGGTTTTTGAACCAGGGCGGCGGTTAATACCGGAAGGTATGGAAAATGACAGAAAAAACAGAGGAAAGAGAAAATGAAAGAAATGAGGAACCTAAATAGGACTAAAAACTTTCCCAATAAAAACAGAAAAAACATAAAGACTTTCTCAATATATGACCATATGTTTTTATTTCCTAATGTAGGACCTTTGGGCATTATCAAGTAGTCATTATTCAACTAAATGTCCATCATTACTAGACATTATTCTTTCCACAAGGTCATTATTAAGTTCTATTTAGGGAATAAAAAAGTTTAAGTAAGAAAGTCATTATGTTTTAGGCCTATTTAGTGCAAATTTCACATGAGGAAATCGAGTTTCTATAGTTAAATTTGGATGAAAGGAAAATAGAAATTAAAGAAATGAAAGAAAAACAAATTTTTTAATTTACTCCCTACGTCCGGAAATGTTTTTCTCATTCGATATTTCAGCATCTTCAATATTGCACTTTAATATTTAGTATCTATATTTATACATAGATATATTTTATAAAAATTTTATTTTTCAAAACTATCATTCAGAATATATTGATATTAAATTTACCGAGACCAGTTTTCGGTAGAGATTTTGGTCCTTAACCATGTTCACGATCTGATTTGAATGATTCTCATTTGATTGAGGGCCTGTTTGGGAATAGCGTTAGAGATTAGGGTTAGCGTTTTGAATAAAATTTTAATGGTGCAGATTACTTTGAAAACGCTAATGTTAAATGTTGTCCGTAGATAGCCTTTTCAAAACGCTAACGCTAATCGCTAAAGCTATTACAACCAGGTCCTGAAATAAGTTCTGATCTGATCTGAATGTAGTTATACTTAAAACTCTTTCTAATCCGATTTCAATAAAAATAAGTAGTACTCCACCCGTTCGGAAAAGAAGTTCACACTTTGACTTTTCTTCATTTTTATGAGGGCTTGATCAAGGACATGGATGGTCTAAAATGCCCCTACCATACTTGCCGAGTAGTTTTTAAGGGCTATCCAGTGAATATTAAAAGCTAGTTCTGATTTCCGACGAAAGTTTAGCTACAAAACGACGAAAGTTTAACTAGGACACTAGGTTGGCGGCGACAATAACTTTCCCTCTTTTTCTTCTTCTCTTCTTCTTCTTCGCGGTTCGCTCCTCTTGTGGTTTCCGTGCGTAAAAAGAGATGAGGTCGTGCGACCGTGTAGGGGTTTCGCGGCTTGGGCCGTGATTTCACATGCATGGGTACAGTTTATTTATAGCTATAGGGTTTCATGCTCCGTAATTAAATAATGTATGTCAGAAAAATATACTTCTCGAACCCACTTGTTTCGAATGAGATATGTTTGTAGTTTGTACCGTTGGATTCATCTCGTTGAACCCTACACAACGATATACTTTTTATAATTTACTGACAAATATTTCTAACTAACCCCGAGTCCGTCTCCATAATTACTTAATTATTTTCATTTAATTTGGAAGTCCTAATCCTCACAAGCTTGAGCGAGTCACCATACTAATACCTCTCACTTTCACTATTTTGTTTGAACCACTCTCAATGTGACAGCCAGACCAATGAGGACGGGAACTCCATGGCCCCCGCCTTTTTTCTGTCTTTACCCGCCCAAATTGCTGGCCGTTCCTCTTTTCGAGCTTCACGTTGCCCAATTCGCTCCCCAGTTTCTTCCTTTGATCTCAAGACTCCTCTTGTATCGTGCACGCAATGGCATCTGGACAAGATAAGAAGGCGAATTTTTTTGTTCCATTTCATATCAGTCGAAGAATTTATGTAAAATTGTCTGGAAACGGACGGCGACGATTGGATTCCGGTGAAGCGATCTACCGACGCCGACATGTGGAGCTCGGGCTTGGGAAATCCGCTGGAGATTAGGTTTAGCGAGCCGGCGAAGCATTGGACAGATGCTCTTCCTATCGGGAACGGCCGGCTTGGCGCTATGATCTGGGGCGGTGTTCTGTCCGACACTCTCAATCTCAATGGTAAGTGACCTTTCTTCTTCTTCTTCTTCTTCCCTGAAACCTTTTTTTTCTCCACCATTTCTGTTTATTAGCGAGGGGAAGTAATCTAGGGTTTTACGGTCTGTACAGAGGACACCTTGTGGACTGGAATGCCAGGCGATTATACTGATCCTGATGCTCCCAAATCCCTTGCTGTCGTCAGGAAACTCGTTGATGACGGCCAATATGCTGAGGCCACCAAAGCTGGATCCAAATTAGTGGGTAAACCAAACGAGGTAAGTCCGTTTGATGCAAAAAATCATCTAGAGTGATAAGCACATGTGTGATTGCATAAAATGTACAGACCTTTCCTTCGTGTGAAGAACCGATAGTTCTTCACACGAGTCGGGAACCACAATGATCAAGTGCTGATGCTGTTGTGTTCATTTGGAACATAGAAAACACTACGGAATTAGAATGCATACTAGTAAGAAAAACATAGATGAAAATTGGAATTTGGCAAGAAAGAAAATGTGGGCGGGGGAGAAAGGCTAAAAATCAATACTCCGTATTTTATTTTAGATATTTGTTGGTAGTCTTGGTACCTTTTTTTTTAAATTTATTTTTATTATATAAAGACTAAGGAAACTAAATACATGAAAAAAATAGAATTAACAAATAATCATATTTAAGTTTTCTTTGTATTTTTTAAGGTTGAATCAAACATAATCCAGTAACTCTCCTCAGCAGTTTTACTTCTCTTATCATATTTTGTGATCCACACACAAACATACTCTCACAGTCCATTTGGATTCAGGGAGTTGATAGGGAAAGAAAGTAGGGAAGAAAGTAGAGCGGAATGTTGAATGACGGATAATTTGATTTGTTTAGAAATCCATTCAAAATCAATTTTTTTGAACACTAATAACTATATTATAATGTAGTATCTGTTCATAGATTCTCAACCCATTAAGCATGTAGAGTTATTACCCACCCGGGATCAAACATGTGACCTCCAATATGGGAGAGTCATCATCATGCCGCTGGACCACAAGGGCTTTGGCCAAAATCAATAAATCAATTGTTTTTAGTTGTTTCAAATCTTGTATATATACGGAGTATGTTTCTATTATAGACTAAGAAATACTCCCTCTGTGCCAAAAAAAACAACACTTTCCTTTTTTATCTGCCCTAAAATAGAATCCCTTTTCCTTTTTTGCTATGGAAAATCCGAAAATGTGGACAACTGGACATAATTATTTCTCTTTTAATTCAGTTCCAACCTATTCACTTTTAGGATTTCTTAAGCTTTGTATCCAGTCAAAGTGGACTAGTAGTTTGAGATGGGAGTATAAATTTATGTAAATTTTACTCCGTATAAAGGTTTAACCAAATTTGATTTTCTTTGTATTTTCCGTGTTTAACATAAAAAAACAAGTTCCCTTCGCACTTTTCCCCTTTCCCTACCATTTTCTGTTTTCCATAATCAAAGAGTATCTTCAGGAACATAGGCTTATGGAGTGGAGCAAATTAAAGCAAATATGTTTATTGATTGTTCCAAGATAACTTTACATCGAAGGGAACTCAATGGCATATCATTCCGGGGTATATTTGTATCTGCTTCCTTTGTAGTGTGTGGATTTGCTTTTTCCTTCTTCCTCATCCTATTGGGGCTATTGCGGAACTGCCTCTCTATCTAGCATATGAAAATTTAACGTACGCCGTATGCATACACCTTCCGCCGTAGACCCCACGTGTGAGATTAAAGTTTGTTGTTTTTGTTATCATGATGTTGTGTTTTCCTTTTCTTGATTTGTGTTGGCACCTTTGACCTTTTGTCTATCTAAAGCTAGTTCAGCCAGTATCACAAGCATTCTCATGGTTTTCCTGTTATAGTAAAGGTTTATCAGCTTATTGGAGATATCAAGCTGGAATTTGATTCTTCACATGCCAATTATAATGAAGAAACATATCAGAGAGTGTTGGACTTAGAAACTGCAACAGTGAAAGTAAAATATTCCACAGATGGAACAGAATTTACGAGGGAATACTTTTCCTCAAATCCAGACCAGGTGATTGCAGCAAAACTAACTGCAAACAAACCTGGCTCTATTAATTTCACCATGTCAATGGACAGTCAAATGCAACATTGCTCTCATACAAATGAGAAAAATCAGATCATAATGAAAGGTAGTTGTCGTGGAAAAAATGAGAGCGTGGAAGATGGCATTCAATTTTCAGCAGTTTTAGATTTACAGATAAGTAGTGGATCAGGGACATTTAGAGTTTTGGATGAGAAGAGACTTCAGGTCGAGGGTTGTGACTGGGCTATCATACTTTTGGCGGCATCTTCCACATTTGATGGGCCATTCACCAAGCCATCAGAATCGAGGAGGGATCCCGTTTCAGAGTCTCAAAAAACATTGAGTGATAGTAAAAGATTTTCGTATTTGGAAATTTATTCACGCCATCTTGATGACTATCAGAATTTATTCCAGCGTGTCTCACTGAATCTTTCCAAAAATAATGATGGAAAATTCTCCAAAAGTTGTAATGGTTTAAGGCCAACAGCTGAGAGAGTGAAATCCTTCACAGTTGATGAAGATCCTGGTTTGGTGGAGCTTTTATTCCAGTATGGGCGATATCTACTAATTGCTTGTTCACGCACTGGAACTCAGGCAGCAAACTTGCAGGGTATATGGAACAATGATATGGAGCCAGAATGGGAGTATGTGTAAACACATTTCAGCCACATTTTCTTATTTAAAGAAGTGTACTTTTGTTTTCTCTCCATAAAATGATTTTTTGGTTCTTTGTACTCATCTTTTTTTTTTTGCTTGTCTTTCCTTGACAGTGCTGCCCCTCACTTGAATATCAATCTTCAGATGAACTACTGGCCTGCTCTCCCTTGCAATCTCAAGGAGTGTCAACAACCTCTACATGACTATATATCACTTCTTTCGTCCAATGGAAGCAAAACTGCGAGCGTAAGTGTTGTTTTCACTTTCATTGTGTGCTTACGAACTAGTATGTACTACGTAGCATACAATGAAATTTTTGGACCGATATATGATACTAAATCGTTGTACTACTGATACTTGACTTTTCCAAAAAAATAAAACTATGTAGTATCTACTACTGATTTAGAATAACTAAAATGTCCACACTTGGTGGGTATTTCTCAACTTTAAAATAATACTCCCTCCGTCCCTAAATATTTGTCACTTGTATTCCCGAGGTAAAATATTAATTTTTTTCAATTCAGTTTATTTACATATTGGTATAGAAATAAAAAATAAAATTTACATATCAGAAAACTACATGAAAAGTTCTTCGAAATAAGAGGTGTCAAGAATATTTTATTTTATCAAATAACCAATAAAAACGTAGAAATAAACAAAAGTTCCCGCGACTCCTGAAAAAGTAAGTGTGGCAAATATTTGGGGACGGAGGGAGTATATCTTTGGGAATTTGGATATTTTGAGCTAGAAGCAGAGCATTTTCAGTGCCAAGGAATTAAAGAAGGGAAGAATTTGAAGTCAGAGTTTCATAATATAACTATTTTAAGACTTCTCAAAATTCTTCCCATGCAAAATTTTCATCCTTCACTACCATGTGTGTGTGTGCACACACGCGGCATGCCACTATATGTAAACATCAATGTATTTACTCAGAGAGTTTTACAGGTGAACTATGAAGCTAGAGGCTGGGTTGTACATCACATATCTGATATATGGGCAAAAACATCCCCTCATCCAGGCAATGTGGAGTATTCTATATGGCCCATGGGTGGAGCATGGCTCTGTACACATCTGTGGGAGCATTATATGTTCACAATGGACAGGGTACAAGCCCAGGCTTTTCTAAATAATTATAAAATACATGGCTAAGTTATAAAGCTTGTTTCTAGATTCTGATTGATATGCAATATTACAACTTTCTTTTCGTAACATTCTAAAGCATGCTTCATGTGAAAGTCATGGTTTTAAAAGGTGCCCGAGGCGTTTGCATTTCGCCTCTGAGGCTTAAGCCTCAAAATGGATACCTGAGGCGTAAGCCTCACAATGTTGAGGCAGTCCGAGGTGGTCTGAGGCAGCAAGGCATAACCAAGGCATAAGCCTCACTTTTAATAATAATTTCAACTTTTGTAAGGGTTATTTTAAAAAAGCTATTGGGCCTCTTACAAAAAACGCTTTTGGGCTAATGCACTATATAGTTTCTTAAGAAAACTTAATAAACCTAGTAGATAATTAACACCTCTTTCCAAGACTTTAGTGTTAACTTTCGTATCTCCATCTTCAACCGCACTTCTCTCCATCTTCAGACTTCAGGGGCACAGCTCCACTCTTGTGGTAGCCGCTAAGGCAACTGGTTCATATTTAATAGCTTCTCTTCTATTTCTTTCATCTTCTTCTATTAACTTTTAATTTTTTCGGCTCCTTCTTTTCCAACATCCCTCCCTCTATGAAATTCGGTTCAAACTCCAAAGAATCTAGTAACTTTTTTTTTGCATGAACATTTGTCCATATTTAATATTTATAAGGTTTGAAGATGGGTTTGAGAATTTGTGTTTTATGTTACTGTGTTTAATTTTTCTAATTCTATTTTTTTTGTGTTTTAAGAATTAAGATATGGTATCATTTTTTGTAAATTTCAGGAATTATGATTTTATCATTTATTTAACATGAAAATGGATTATGCATTTCGTTTTACCTCGGAATACATATTTTAGTATTATTTTTTTCATATTGAATAGAGGCTTACGCCTCAAGGCATTTTGCTCCACCACCTCGAGCTTTGCCTTTCAAAACCTCGGTGAAAGTCGGAATGTTTTATTATTTAACATTCGGCAGACACGATCATAATAATGGATTAATAGAAAGCTTTTTCATCTCCTGGAAGCATCTATTTCTGCAAGGATATTCAATGTCCCTAGACATGAATATGTTCCAGAGTAAAAAACCACTCTTTGATTGACTGTTTGTTTTTGTCCAGGATTTTCTGGAAAAGACCGCATATCCATTGTTGGAAGGATGTACTTTATTTCTACTGGACTGGTTGATTGAAGGAAGAGAAGGATATCTGGAAACTAATCCTTCTTCTTCTCCCGAGCACAATTTTATTGCCCCTAATGGTGAAATTGCCAGTTTGAGTTACTCAACCACCATGGACATGTCAATCATCCGAGAAGTTTTCTCTGCCATTGTTTCTGCTGCTAAGGTAGATCCCACTTTTAAATTTTCTTTTCTATGGTGTTTACTCTTTAGTAGGAAGTTTGAATTTGAAAGAAGAATGTTTTTTCATGAACAGGTTTTGGACAGAAATCAAGATGATCTGATATTGAGGGTTCAAAATGCTCAGTCACGTCTTTGTCCAACCAAAATTTCGAAGGATGGTTCTTTAATGGAATGGGTGCTTGCAAAAACTTTGGATTTCTGATCTTGACCCAATATTTTTAAATTTTTTTAATCAATTACCAGTAATAAAAGATGACTCTTCACTTTAACAGTTCTGTTTCTAATTCCTCTGCAATGTGCAGGCAAAAGATTTTGAGGATCCTGAGGTGCATCATCGGCATCTCTCACACCTTTTTGGCCTATTTCCAGGGCACTCAATAACCCCTGAAAAAAATCCTGTCCTTTGTAAAGCTGCAGAAAACACTCTGTACAAAAGAGGTTAGTGATTGAAGGAGTAGGAAAGTCATGTCATGAATTTATTGAAGCTACACCCTTGATATATACCCTCTCTGTCCCAAAATGATGTTTACACTTCTTTTTTTGGGTTGTCCCATGATAAACTTACATTTCCAATCACACACTTTTTACTTTTCCGTAAAGTCAAACCGCGAACTTCATTTTGGGAGGAGGATATTCTACAGTCTTAAAGGTCAATGTCTTTTCTCAATCAGGAGATGATGGTCCTGGGTGGTCTACGGTGTGGAAGGCTGCTCTTTGGGCACGCCTTCTTGATAGTGAACGAGCATACCAAATGGTCAAGCATCTCTTCTCATTAGTGGATCCTGAACATGAGGCCAGTTTTGAGGGAGGGCTTTACGGTAATTTATTTGCTGCTCACCCGCCATTCCAGATAGATGCAAATTTTGGGTGAGAACATCTTCCTATCACATTCACTGCAACTTCTCTACTTTGAATGATGCAAAATAGTAAGGTTATAGGCATGATGGTGTTAATCTGTGTTCCTTTTTTGAACCAGCTTTACAGCAGCCGTGTCGGAGATGCTGGTTCAGAGCAGCATGACAGATTTATACTTGCTTCCCGCGCTCCCTCTGCATAAATGGCCGACCGGCAGCGTTAAGGGCTTAAAGGCCCGTGGTGGCGTGACAGTCAGCATCTGTTGGAATGAAGGCGAGCTTTACCAAGTTTGCCTTTGGTCATGTGCTCAAAGTTGTAATGTTGTTACAAGATTACATTATAAAGGAATCAGTATCACATTGAACATATTGCCTGGAAGAACCTACACATTCAACGAGGAGCTGGAGAGTGTGAGTGTGAATGATATACACTATTTGGTTAGTTAGTCCAATATGTTATGAACCTATAACACCTTTTATTACGTGTTTAAATGTATGATCATTGAACCGTTTGTATTATTCTTCTTTTAAGAAAAAACTATATTTCCTGTGCGCAAAATAAAGGGAGAAGTTGATGTCATGTTACATTTATAGAGTATAAATTGATTTGGGCCACACAAGTCATATTTTATTTGACCATAACTTAAAGTCATTCTTCAACTTCACATTTTTTTAAAAAAATGTACTCCATATCATAAAAGTATTTGACAATGCTTTTGGTGAATCATTCTCAATTTTTTGTTAGAGAAAAAACAGATTAAATTTTTGTGTAGCAATAAACAAATTTGATAGTTTTGAATTATGAGTTCAATCTCAAACACCCGAGGCGTGCAACGCACTTCTGACTAGCTAATTTGGACACATAATTTGATCATCTTATTCTTTTTAGAAGCATTCTGTTCATCAAGATAAAAACTGTGTTTGAGAACATGTGAATTGTGAAATCTGTAATGAGTTCATTTAAAAAATTGAAACCCCCTTCTAAAAAAGTGTGTTCTTTTGGTAGCATATGCAAACAAAACTACTCCATTTGTCCCAAATTTGATCACAAATTGAAATTTACAAGATAATACTCCATATTTTTAAAATCTTTTTATTTATAAATTGTTATATCAATAAAAATAAAAATTACTAGGTACATATTAATAAGCTACGTCAAAAGTTTTACAAAATAAAAAATGACAAGATTATTTTATTTTATTAAATAATCAATGAAAAGTTATCAAGAGACGAGAGAAAAAATTATAATCAAAATTGGGACGGAGAGAGTATTTTTCAAGGAAATTTTGAGCAGGCTTATCGAAACAAAAGTTGACTTTCACTATAATTACAACAGAAATTGCAACAATAATTGATTGTGCACAAAATCAATTATTGAAATACTCAATTTTTCAGCTAAACCTTACAAGCTCTAATTCATTGCAAGTCTTCCCTTTCAAGGTTTGCATCCAAACAGGGCCTTAAGAATCCCCAGTTTATAATGCAGTTCTTCAAAACACGGCACCACTGACATCTTGTGTGTCCCCTTTCTTTCTTCTTCATGCATCACGAAAGTAAGATGAGGGAATTTCCAGTGGTGGACACATTGTAGCCACATGTTTGTACTGCTTTACAAGAACGGTAGGAATTTTGTGAAAAAAACGTGGAGACTTTCACAAAATTTTAAAAAATATTGAGGCGTGAAAACCTTATGGTTAGAAGTTATTTAGAGGAGAGAAAAGCGCTACGAGCCACTCTTGCCTTTCTTTAAAGAGAAAGGAAAATTTTTTTTCTTTCTTTTCTTTTTTGCAGGGAGAAGAGAGTATTTACATTTATTTGTCTTCGAAATAGATAAACGAAAAAAAGTGAGTTTGTGAAAATGTAAATAATTACTTTATTTAGCTATGATAACAGAAACATTTCTATGATCACGTATTCACATGTACAGAGGAAAGCAACAAAAAATACCTTGTGCATATGGTACTTTTCTCCTACTGCGGATCCCACTCTTTTCTTCAAATGCATTTCATGTAATGCCAGAACACAATCCTTCAATTCGGATGGTTTGTAGCCAGTATACTGTTGCAGTGCAGAGCTCTACAAAAAACAAAAAAAAAAAGGAAATCTAGGAATAAATTCTTGGACAATCCAGGCTTGGCTGGTCTTCTAATAATAATCCCAAGTGATTATGTTGCGACTAATAATCAAGTTAACTTCAACATTTCAAAAATGGTCCGCACACTTTATCGCTGTAGCCATCAATTAACTCCTTTATGAAATGACATATAATTGAATGTTTAATCCACAACTAAAGTATTAACTTTTGCCTAGATTGTTAGCAAGATACGCCAAACATAGCCTACATTCCCTCTTCATGTTCCTTTTATCTTCCTGTTTCGTCGATATAAATTAGTGGAAATTCATGCTACATAATTTTTGTGCAGGTTGAGCCGGGGGTCTCTTGGAAACAGCCTCCCTAATTCCGAGTAGGGGCAAGGTCTGCGTACACACACCCTCCCCAGACCCTATTGTAGTGGGATTCAACTGGGATGTTGTTGTTGTTGTGTTCATGCTACATAAGCAAATACTAATGCTAGTTAAATGATGCCAGTGCACAAACTATTGATAGAAGATTGAAGCAAACTTGAGATTATTTTTAGCAATATCTTACCTATGGATGTTGAACTTGGAAATATTTCTACAAGTTTTCCTTTAATCTGATAACCAAATCCTACTAATGACAACATAAAGAAGGCTCTTAAGTCTTACCCAGGGATGAAGTGTTGGTAGAATTGTAAATCTTGCAAGAAAAATAGCAGATGCAGCAATTTGGGATGGCAAGTACTGGACACAGCGATAATCTAATAAGCTGAGCTCCGCGAGAAAACAACACAAGAATTCAAATTCCATTGTCGAAAACTGAAGACAGGTTTAAAAATCATCAGTACAACCTAATGATGATTTATGAAAAAAACAAATTGTCTAGCAACGACAAAACATACAGTACAAAAGATTTTCATACCTTTATGTTGTCTTGAGAAGGTTTGGTGAAGATCCTGTCCAAAAAAGTTCTCATTAGCCAATCAAGCCAAAATGGTACCAGTATCTATGACGGGGATACATTGAAAGCAGCCATGAAAGGCTATGAATTTTTAGTTTTTCAACTACTGCATCCATGCCCAAAATTATTAATATTTGAAACACTTATTTCTCCCCAAAAAAGAGTTCAATTAAAACAAACACGGTTAATTCTTCATGTACTTTGCCAAAATGATAAATTTAAGGAAACTGAAAATCAAGAGACTCAATTAAACTTACAAATAGATTAAACCAACATAAGTATGGCTCATAGTTTATGAGTGGCATCTTTTCAAATTTAACATTGTTGTATATTGCCAATGACTTTTTTCAGAGAGAGGTAACATTATATACTAATTGCCCTGTCCAAATTAAACCTCTAATTTGTAATTGGCACACAAATTAAGCAAATGAAACCTTGTGATTAAGATTTATTTAGAAATGAAATGAAGGAATACCAACTGCATGATTCCTTCCATAAAAGGAGATTACGAAGGGGTGTTAATAGAATTATGTTTTTCTAGAATTGAAAACGATTTAATGTGACAAAGGCAAAAGCAACCTGAGAAAAGTTTTTGTTGTGGGGTTGCCAGTTTCAAAGCCTATAAACTTCAGCAGATCTCTCTCCATGTCAATGACCTAACATGAGGACAGAAGAAGTTACATCTTTGAATGTACAGCCTTAAACAAAATCCAAGCAGAACTAATATGATATACAGATAGAAACTGAGCATCTGACCTCCACTTTAGTGTATGTATTGTCTGTGATATACACAAAGTCTTCAACATGTGGTGGCTGGATCTCTTCATATTTTCTGCAAAATGGGTGATCTTGAGTTATTACCCTGGAATGAATGAAATAACACCATGATTCAATAATCAAACGAGAGAGCTTCGCGAGCTTACGATGCAATGAGCATACAAGAAATGCCCAGAAGCTGAAGTTTTGACCGGTTCAGAGCACGGAACGAAAGGAATCTGTCAATATACGAGACTGTGAGATGGAGTGTATCTGCGACGAGTCTATACTCTTCAGCTACTTCCACCAACCAATCAACCAAAATTAACCGCATACTGGGAGACATATCATTTTGAACCTTCTCAATGTAATTTGCCAAAGGCCTTCTTTTCTTCTCAACCTAAACCCTAACCAGAGATTACTACTCCAAATACCGACATAAACACATAAATGCAAAACAGAAACGCATCAAATAAATGGAAAACTGAAGCACAATCCCGGCAAAAGTAGAATTCGTACCTCCATGGAGTGAAGATGGCGATAAATGAGAGGCGCGCAGGAAGACTTGTGAGTGTTCTCGGGGCTCCGATTCTCAGAAACAGATCCAGAATTGGGAGTTTCCTCGCCGCCGACCTTCTTCAATTCGGGCGTGGATCCGGACTTCTGGGATCGTCTGAGATCAGAGTTCTGACCAGAGCACTTGTTGGTGATATCGCCCAATACAACCCGCTTCTTCGTGGCCGGAAGCCCTAGGACTTGCAGAGACCCATTCGCGGTGGCCTCCAATGCGGTACTCCTCTTCGATCTCCTCACGGTAACCCGGTCATCTCCTCCGCCCGTCATATATGAGCTAGGGTTTTACAGGGAAGAGGGCACCCCCAGTTGGATTCGCGATACAGGGATGAGTAAAGCTGAAACTGCCAGTTTCTGTGCGGTTGAGATGTGATTATATTGGATGAAGACGAAAGTGTCCAGAGAGAGAGAGAGAGAAATGTACAGAGGAGGAAAAGGCGGGAATATAAGCCGCCTATTTTTTCTGTGATTGATTCGAATCGAAAAATGAGAGACTTTTTAGTAGTGGATTGGGCCTCTTGTAGGTTTACTTTGCATTGCTTATTTTGGGGTCGTTCATTACATTTATGGACAAAAAAAGCCCAGAAGGAAAAGGCCCGGAGATGGCTGAAGCCCAACCGAAAGGACAGGTGTCAAGACCAATGGTCCCACAATACTCATACAAAATTACTCTTACGAGAGTGCTTCTTTGGTGCATTTTGGATGCATATTATTTTTATGGACTTTCTCGTATAAATTTTTTTTCTTTTTTATTTAAAAAACAAATGCTTATTTAAGTAGTAAAGAAATGATTATTTTGCTCACATGTAAGTCCATAGTAGAACTTAGGTCCACCATAGAATTTGTCCTCGTTTATGAAGTATGGAGTATTTTTTTTTTTTGAAGGGTGGAGTACTGGAGTACTATATCTTGTTCAAAAAATTTGAAAATAAAAGAAAAAGAAAATAGTCTCTTCTCATTTTTCTCACTAAAATCTAAGGACTTTTGTCTTCCATTCTCTTAGAATATTTTTGTTTTCTTATTTTCTTTTTCTTCTACTTTTCTTTTCTTTTTTTCTAATCTAACCAAAAAAATGTTTTTTCATTTATTTTTCATTTATTGTGTCTTTCAAATTTCTTGAATCAAATATAATGCTAATGACACAATTTGAAATTCGAGTTTAGATTCCGAATCAGATTTGGCTCATATTTTATGTTTGTAAATCTTAAAATTTTACATTTGAATTTGAGAAAAATTTATCTAATTCATAACAAAGTTCAATAACGAATCTCAATTTTAAAATTGAAGTGAAATCCAAATTTCTTTGTACATAGCATAATTCATAGCTTTTTCTATATTTAGTGGTTTGAGAATGCAATCATTCTTTGGATTAATAAGAATGAATCGTTATCCTAGTGTTTCTTGAGTATTTCCTTTTCTTCCCTACTTATTTCTCATAGTCACAATTTTTTTGTGTTGATACTTTTTAAAAATTCTGATATTACAACATGCTCAAATAGAAGTTTTTTTAATACTTCTCAAATTCTGGAGATATCATTTGAAATATTATGGTATCTGCAAAGACCATCATTAATATCAATAGACAGACACCTGCCACACTACCATTGTTGATTACTGTTGACTACTTGACACCACAATTATAGTCGCCACCAACTGCCGGCTACACACCACCACCGTAGTTGCCAACAACAATTATCTTCATTGGCAAACTACCACGGACCATCATCATTGTCAACCATTACCAACATCGACGGCCACCCACGAACCATCATTGGGGTCATCGTCAAACAACCATCATCATGGCCAGCCAATAACCACCATTAAAGAGAACTTTAAAAATGTAACTTACCTATTTTTAACCGTTGAAATATATCTATATCAGAATAACATTGAACACATCTAGTTTCATAAATGCTCACAAAGTACATGGTATCTACATTTGTTCTGATCTGATTTTATTAAGGATAGATCTAACCTGATTCAAGTTACATTTTAAATTGTTTTTTATTTAGTTTATGAACTGACATGATCTGATTCTAATAAGTATAAACAATAAATACTAATAAGTAATTAGAATAAGTCAAAGAGAACAAACTAAAAATGATAGTAATTGAGGCCTCATGCTATTTTTAACCCTTTCAAAATTCAAAGATTTCAAAACTAATACGGGGTATTTTTTTCTAGATTTCATAAAGCCCACATCATATCAACAATATTTAGCCCACCAAACAATATACTTTTGTTTTTTTGCTGCAAAAATAAATATTCTGTACTACACAAGATTTCTTCTTAAACAATTGATTGCCACAATTTACAATTTCTTGAGAAACTACGGCTTTCGTTAATGATGAGGAACAATGAATTGTGGTCAATATGGTATATCTACATCAATACTCATTTAAATAACAAAGCAAAACAAAAATAAAATCAGGTTTTCACGTTAACAAGATTCTTGAATCAAATAAATAGTGGTGGCCAATGCTGTGACAGGCTATTTGACAAAGTTCCATGCCAAACGCTAACGTTATTTATAGCCAAAGTACAGTACCACCTTACCTGGGGAAGAGTGTGTGCATAATCAGGCATTTGCGGGCTGCTGTCCCTTGCAAACCCAAATTCACCGCTTTGCCATTAATAATCTGATGACCAATGATTTGTTGCTTCCACAAACTTTTTGAACCCATATCCGATCGCCAAAACAAGTGAACCCTTGTGTTTGGGACGACATTCCCAAAGGAGCTTGGGAATGGGATCTTTGCACTTGGGGAAGGGGGGGGGGGGGGGGGNTGGCTTTTGATTGTTTGATGAGTGGTTAAAGCTCCAGCGAGCATTTTCAAACCATTTATGAACCTGCACCGTTAACTTTTATAAGGAAAACATAGAGTATAACGGAATAATATAAAGACCAAAGCGAAAAGATTAAAAAAGCAGTAAGTGCCCTAATGTTGCATTGATATGAGTTTCGTTTCTATGTCGGTTTTGTGACTTTTGTCCCATTTGTCCACCATTTCATTATCTAGCCCAGCTAGACCTGAGTCTAGAGCTCACAAACAAATCGGTGGTCGCGTTCGGGTTACTTTGAGTTCGGGGTTAGAAAGTGCATGTTCAGGACATGATGTCATTAGGTTCAGGTAGACCGTAGACCCACCTGAACAGGTATCAGTATATCACTGCTAGCACTTGTATTTTGCATTAAAAACAACAATAAAATTTTTTGAATACACACACACACACACATATATATATATATTAAAGCTATATAATACTTTTTTGAATTTTTTATAATTTTTTAGATATATACAACAATATTACGAAGTATAAATATCATATAGAAATTATGTACAATTTTTAAAAACAAAAAAAAAGACAACAATGCTATATCATTAAAACTCATTGAAGAAGATAAGTTTATACATTAAAAAAGAAGCGACACGGAAAAAAAGAATACTCCGTATATTATAACATTATTTTATTATAATTCCTATATTAAAGTACAAGAATTTTATATAGCCTTACCTTAACCAGTCGGCCAGGTCTGGTTCGAGTTCAATTGGGTTTGACCCTTTTAAGTAGGTCATTTCGGGTTCATTAATCCTAGGGTTTGGTTAGCAAAATCTTTTTAAAAAATAAGTTGGATGAATTTCGTCAAGTCTACATGAGAGGACTATGAGTGTCATACATCGATAGTTTACTAAGTTTGATTCTAATAAATAAGTGTAAGGTAAACTTCACCTAACCCCAATGTTAAATTGGGGTATGTTAGAAATTTGACAACATTACCCCAATGCCTCAAAGGCTCCTGCCCATTGCGATGTAGGGGGGATCGGACATACACAGCCTGACCACTATGTTTAAGACATAGAGCGGCTGTTTTTATTCCATCATACTCCCAAGCCAAAAAATAGTGAATCTTTGGCTCCATTAGACATGATGGAAATCAATTTGACAACAAACGCTTTTTTAATTCAATTAAAGGTTGATTTATAAGAGTAAGTATCAAAGCATTAGATAAATCAATAGGTTGAGTAGGGGTGCACCTGCTGAATTGCAAGTCCTAATTCTGAAGCTAATTTTTCCTTGACATCGCGCTTTGGGTATTGATTTTCCTTGAAGCACTCATAGAGCCTCTGCAAGAAACAGAGAAACTTTTAAGTATCATACATTCATACCTACCGAACAAGTGAAACGAATAGAAATTGGAAATTAAAGAAAAGGTTCGAAGTTAAAGGATCAAAAATAAAAACTAAGGATATTTGTGAATGTGTGTGGTATTTGAGCATATATCATTCAGCATTGGAAGTCAGAAGGAAAAACTCTATTTTACCTTGATTGCATCTTCTCCGTATTTTGATTTACCAATTCTCTTACTACTTGAACCATTTTTGGATGTCGCCAAACCTTCAACTTTCTGCCTTTTTTTATTTTTTCTCCGTGTGGTATTTTTATTTTCAATCTGGCTAAAACTAGTATTTGCATCACTATTTTGAGTCTGATCACATGACTTCTCGTTGGCTTTGAGATTTCTATCCTTCCTTTTTGTAGCGGTACATCCATATTCTCTATCACCGGAGTTAGGAGATGTACTTTGACATATTCCCTTCAAAGTTCAAATGTCAACATATTATATCAACATCACCACAAATTTCAGCTCAAGAAACAAAGTTTGACTTTGCAAAGAAAAAGGCAATGTTTGGAATGTTGAAAATGGTAAGGAAGGTAAAATGCTAAAGAAAATATATGTTTGAGTTAAGTTTTTTATGCTTTTTGACAATTTACAAATATTTTTATTTTTCAGTCTCTGCACAACACTCCCTCCAACCGGCAAAAAAACTTCACTCTTTACTTTTTTTTGTCCGTCCCAGAAAATCTTCACACATCCTCCATTTCCCTTTAAGGAATGAAATATGTGGATAACAAGTATTCACAACATTTCTTTCTCTTCTAAACAAGTTCTAGCTAGCATATGGTTCATTTTTCAACACTTTTCTTAAATACCACGGAAGTCAAACAACAACCGGCACATGGGGTCTAGAGGGAGTGGTACGTAGACCTTAGCCCTATCTAGAAACAATAGAAAGGATATCTCCATGAAACTTAAACAAGTTTTTTTATGGGCCAGATGGAGTACAAATCAGCAATGACAAAACTTAGTATAAATCTCAACTCCGTTGGGGACTGGGGGTCAAGATGTATGCAACTTTATTCCTGTAAAACTAGAGAGGCGGTTTATGTGAGACTATTGATGCATTGTTGCATTCACTATCCAAAACTTCACAGAAGGTAAGAAGCAAAAGAGGTTTAATGTGTCATTTTGATTTAGTCTATGTGCTTGAAGCTAAAATAGTCAATAAT